AGAATTTTCTTAATGATCAAGATTTCGAATTTTATCATTTTCACATTTTCTAATTAAATGATTAAGAACTCAAATCTTGTTATCTTAATTATTATTTTTTTTAAAAAGTAAGCATAATATAATGTGGATTTATTCAATTCATTTAAAAATAATATATTAAAGAATAAAATAAAATAATTTTTGTGATGTAACTTACCAAAAACATTTGGTAATACCATTCTTTTCATAACGCTAGTGCTATATACTAGATAATAATATACCAAGGTTACATCATACAGCTTCAGAGCGCTTTAAAGTAAGATCACTGAATCATGTGTAGAAACTTCGACCCAACTACGTATTTAAAAAAAAAAAAAAAAAATTTTTTTTTTTAAAAGTAAGATGGAAATGGCATGATTGAAATTCTGGACTCCAAGGCGTTGGGTAAGCACACTAGGAAATGTTGATTCTACTTGTAAGTGAAAGTGATATATACAATTTGTTGGGTTTCCCTCCTAGTTAGAGGATAGCACAAAGATTTGCTTACATGAGTCCAATTTTAGAACCCATGTAAAGGAGGATTTTTATTAATCATTTAAAGTGTAATTTTGGTATTTTCAAATAAATCCTATCTTCTCTTTTATTCTGAAATCAGATTAGGAAAGAAGGAAGAGAGAAAAAGAAGAAAAAAAGTAGTGAGAGCCGCAACTTTTAAGAGAAAGAGGGAAGAGAGTTTAAACATAGATTAGTCACGCTAAAATTGAGTTTTTGGGTTCGTTAACCGTTGGATCGAGCTCAAATTTTGTGAGCACGTTCAGGAGAGGTAGGCACACATTCTGGACGGTGGAGATCAGGTTCTGAGTCCTGAAGAGGGATATATTGTGCTCGTAACAGTGCTATTTGCTGGTGAAATCTGAACTTGCTTTCTTCTATTTTCTTTGTGTATCATCTTTTGATGTGGTTTGACAAGGGTGTGTAACCTTTGATGTTTGTAGTTGATTATTCATCTAGTTTAATCTAGAGAGGACTCCTTGTACCCATTATTATTGATAGTGGAAGTTATAGTGGACTCAGGTCCCGTGGTTTTTCCTTCTCAAATTGAGGAGGTTTTCCACGTAAAAATTTGTGTGTGCTTTGTGTGATTGTGATTGGTTGCTTACTTTTCAGATTATTAGTTATTTGTTTGGCTTGGGTATTTGGTTGTAGCCTGTGGTTGATTGTTCAAACAAGGGCAAAGGGGTTTCGTTATGTTATTTGTGTTTTTTTGCCCAACACAATTTAGTGATGTAACCATAGATGCATGTGATGCATGTTAATCTTGACAAAGCAGTAAAGCAAATTCAAAGGAGGATCGCCAAATCTTGAGTTGAAATTTCAAATTGATAGGAGACAATAGTTGTTCGTATACCTAAAAGCATGCTGTATATATATAACGTGTAAATATATGATTTGTTAAGAGATTTATATCCCCTTATAAGCCTTGATAATTACTTGTATACAAATCTTAGATGATTTTGGTGTAGTAGAGTTCTGCCAAAAGAATGAGCTCAGCCGCCATTATAGAGTTAAAATACAGGATTATAAAGAATCTATTCTTTTAAACTAAATTTCCACTCATTGTGAGAAAAAGGTGATGTTAATGCTGGTCTGTTTTAATTATTGGAGTTTTATCTTTTAATGACTTGTGATGCAGCAATAAAAGAAATGTAACTTTCTCTAAGAGATAAGCCATTCACAAAGAATGAATGTGTATTAAATTAAGTTATTGCATGCACATATTACTTTAACTAATTAATGTTTAATTATGTATATGAGGGAAGAAAAACATAAAAAAACCTGGACAGCTCGATCTTCGACAACAGCATCCTTAAGAAGACAACTTAGTAAGTTGTTAAATTTGATACTTTCAAATTGCTAGTTGTTGGTTCTAATTTTGAATTAATAATGGTTGGTACTTAATTGGGGTATTAGAGAGGTATTCTCTTAGTTGATATTTGGTACATGAAACTAGATATGACGATTTTATAATTTTGTATTGGTATTTAGTGCAAATATAAGGCGCGATAAAAAGCATTTTGTCCTTTCCATGCTCAAATTTATGTTCAACATCGATCTGTATACCAAACAAACTATAACATAAGGTTTCTATGCATCCCCTCTCCTCTATGAAGAAAAAATGAATTTGAAATAACAACCAAATTAAGAAAAATTCCATTTTCATTTCAAAACAAATTGGTGCTAAAATTATATAGAGAGAAATTAGTTTTCTGCAATTAGGCAACCAAATTTTGAAATTTTAGTACTTAATTGATGACCCAACTTCTGGAACTGTTCGTGAAATTTGTACAAAAATCCCAAAGCCACCTACCCCACTTTTCAACAAGTGAAGTAGATCGAAGCCGAAGGGTTATGCTTCGTTCTATCACATTGTGACCAAAAGTTAGCTTCGCATATTGCATAGTTTCTATCCATCTCTCGCAAGTTGTCTGTGCAGCCAAGCCAGTGATCACTGTTTTGAGTCCTTGTTCTGATTACCTTCACAGCTTCACACTCGGATCTTGACTTGAGAATGCAAGGTCCATTTGAGGGAGAACGCAGGGTCCATTTGAGAGCACTTGATTGTGGGATTAAAAGCAACAGAGACTCCTCCATGTTGTGCAATTATTATGCATAAATATATGTTATAGAAGCATGGTCGCAGCTGGGGCAAAAAGCAACTTTCTTCTGATCATGCATGTTCTCCCTGCACCAGTACGCGTGACCCCAAACTGGGGAAACTGCTACAATCATTTTTAGGTCAAGGTCAGCACATTATTTCAGTTGGATTAATCGTTGCTCTTGGTATCATCCTACATAAATCAATCTACGTTAGATATTTAAGTGCCTCCCACTTCTAGTGTCCAATCTGCTGAGCATAAAACGAAACCGATGGGCCATAATGATAATGTTTGGTCTGAGGCCACAACTCGTGCACTTTTGTCCAAACATGGTCCGAGAGTTCATTCAAATTATATAAAAATTTGGACCTTCTAGTGGCAAGTGCCAATATTAGTTTAGATAAAGAGGGTTTCTTGTAGAGTTGTAGTGGCAAAGCCTTGGGCATTCACACGTCAAATCTGAGATGCTAACCTCTTTCGTTGGCTGAAAGGTAATATCACATGACTGCTATCAAAATTTATACGTACTTCGAAAAATGCATCATCAAGCTCTCCACATCTGATAATGGTGTTGAAATGGTCTTTGATTAAGTGTCTACCACTGGCTTTTTACCTAATAAAATCTCTTGGATTACGAACTTACAGCCATGCGAAGATGTAATCTCCGAAAAAAAAAAAAAAAACTTCATTAATTACAAAACCATGCAAATGCATGTAGATTGTGGCCTCCAATCCTGAATTTGAATAAACTAGGTGGGATTCACTTTGTGAAAAGGCTATGCCTATGAAGCTTATTCTACTCTCTAGGTAAAAAGATGGCTGGTTGCTTTGGGTTTATATGAAAGGAAATAAAGGCAAAAGAGATTACTTTTTGCTAATAGTGTTTAATCAACCTTTTGTTATTTTAATTACCTATATCTTTTGTTATACTGCCTTTCATGGGTTTCTTATCTTTTTTTTTTCCTTTAATTTCAAAAAAGGTTCATATTATAAAATGTTGGCATTCTATATATGGCGATTATAATAAATTTTTCTTCCCACTTCTGAAACCTCCACTCAAAAAGTTGAGCTAATAAGAATGAGATAGAAGAATGCCTGCGGCTGGCTTTGTCTTAACCTAGGAAGCAGGCCAAACAAAGTTGGAGTACATGTACTAAGATTAATATGTATATACTCAAAGTGATACACTGACCATAGAGGCATAAAATTCCTATACTGTTTAGATTAATTAACAAGGAAAAAGCACAAGCGAATAATTAATTAATGGTTTCAAAACTGGATTGGACAGGCTTAATTATGATTCAAAGTAAATTCAAAGTAAATTTTCTCTACTGTATATTTACAAGTCTTTTACTTTTTGATGTACTGAAGATGCTTGATGGAAGTAGAATTGTTTTTTACCTTGTTCTTATGTAGAAGAGATCAGAAAAATTTTCTTAGAATTATTTGAAAACCTTTCCTTTTGAAACAAGAGAAGACCTTGCTACTCTGATCAATCAAGAAAGATAATTACTAAACTTTAATTGATTAAACATCATGATTAAGAGAAAAGGTCTTTGAATTCCAGTAATTATTAGCCCATTCGAATCATCATCCATCATTCTATGAAAGTACTGACCAATTCCTTGCCAAGCTAGTTCCCACTTTCTTTGGTTCAAACTTGCAATCTCTCCTTACAAATGAAATAAAGGTACCATTAAACTACAAGTTCCATCACTAAAAACATTTGAGAGTGAAAACAATTACAGGAAGGTGGCTACTAAACTATATATCCTGAGTTAGGTCTGGAAAAATACAGATTATGCGTATAAAATAAAACTAATTCAATAGATACATAGTTACAAATCGACCAAGGATTAGTTAGTTTGTCACATAAAAATGACAACTTTTGCAATAATCCACACGTGAGTTACCTTTGCCATAAGTATGTTAGTAAAAGTTTAAGAGGATGATTATGAGCTGGAGGGAAAAGGTAACAGATAATAATTAATCAAGAAAATTTACTTAATTAATTTGCGAGCTAATGCTAAATTTTTGGACTAGATAGCTAGCCAGCTGGTCAAATTCATGATTTGATGCACTCTGTGGTCACCATACATATATGTCACCTTTTCCTAAAAGCAGAAAAGAAATACAAAGTTAAGGAGCACAAGACCCACTAATTTCTTCTCAAAACAAAAACACCCTCCCAATGTCAATCCAAAAACAAAACTCCAAAAGGAACATACAGTAACCCATCACTCAAATTATTTCAAACCCCACACTACCCTTTCTCTCTACACATACCAAAACCCAAACCAAATAAATCCCTCCCCTTCCTCTTGTTCCCCAAAGCAACAAGTACTGCTAGCTACCAACCAAAGCATGATAAACATGCCAGCTTCTCAAGCACTGCTTGTCTTGGTGGTGCTGGTGTTATTACAACTTGCGATAAGCACCACCTCCTCCTCCTTTTCTACTGCCACCACTCATCATGACACCACCACCAAAGCCGAAGCCAAAACCATTTCGCACACTGATTTTCAGTTTTTGAACGTGAAACAAGCAATAAGAGAAACAATAACCAGGCCTATAAAACCATCCCAATATCAACAACTATTCAAGAATGATCCAAATGATGGTGAAAGTGAGGGAAAGAAGAAACTGAAACTTGTCCACAGAGACAAGGTATCCTTCAACAACAAGTTACACAATCAAAGCCACGTTTTCAATGCACGCATGCAAAGAGACGTCAAGAGGGTGGCTAGCCTTATCCGCCGCCTTTCAAGTGGCAGCGCCGCCAAGTATGAGGTGAAGGATTTTGGGTCAGATGTGGTGTCAGGGATGAACCAAGGTAGTGGAGAATATTTTGTTCGAATAGGAGTTGGTAGTCCACCGAGAAGTCAATACATGGTTATTGATTCGGGTAGTGATATTGTTTGGGTTCAATGTAAACCTTGCACCCAATGTTATCATCAAACCGACCCGCTATTTGACCCGGCAGATTCAGCATCATTTATGGGTGTGTCCTGTAGCTCGGCGGTGTGCGACCGGGTAGAGAATGCGGGTTGTAATTCCGGTCGGTGTCGATACGAGGTATCATATGGTGATGGGTCATATACAAAAGGGACTCTTGCCCTTGAAACACTTACTTTTGGAAGAACCGTGGTTCGAAACGTGGCTATTGGATGCGGGCATAGGAACCGGGGCATGTTTGTTGGCGCTGCCGGGTTGTTGGGTCTTGGAGGTGGATCCATGTCATTTATGGGTCAATTGAGTGGGCAAACTGGGAATGCATTTAGTTATTGTTTAGTAAGTAGGGGGACCAATTCAAATGGATTTTTAGAATTCGGATCTGAAGCAATGCCCGTGGGTGCTGCATGGATCCCTTTGGTCCGAAACCCACGGGCACCGAGCTTTTACTATATTGGGCTCTCGGGTCTCGGAGTTGGTGGCACCAAGGTGCCTATATCTGAAGATTTATTCCAATTAAATGAATTCGGAAATGGAGGTGTTGTCATGGACACTGGGACGGCCGTGACTCGGTTCCCTACGGTGGCTTACGACGCATTCCGCAATGCTTTCCTTGAGCAAACCCAGAACCTCCCCCGGGCTTCTGGAGTATCCATATTTGATACCTGTTATAACTTATTCGGGTTTCTGTCAGTTCGAGTGCCAACGGTCTCATTCTACTTCTCAGGTGGGCCAATCCTAACCCTTCCAGCAAATAACTTTTTAATTCCAGTGGACGATGCAGGAACCTTTTGTTTTGCATTTGCTCCTTCCCCTTCAGGACTTTCCATCCTAGGAAACATCCAACAAGAAGGGATTCAAATTTCCGTTGATGAAGCTAATGAGTTTGTAGGTTTTGGTCCAAATGTTTGCTAAGTAGGAATTTTGCTAGCGTTTAACTAGTGACAAAAATGTTTATTATATGTTAGTAGTATTTAGTATTGGTATACGTACGTACACGTAATTAAGAATGGATATATGTATTAATATCCTGTGATATTTGTGCTAAGTATTGTAGTATATGAAACTAAAGCTGTGCTTTTCTCTTTGCGAACGAGTGTGTAAAAACAATGTAAATGGACTCAATAAAGATTATGCAAAGACGTAATTATGATTACACAAAAAAGATCAGTACTGATTAATAGTCAAACATTCCCAGCTGAAATCTGGCAATGGTCAAAAGCATGATCACCAGAAAAGATTAATTTACGTTGGTATTAATTAGCCAACCATGGTAGGATCCAAGAATCCTTTTATACTCATGTTAGTATATATACTAGACATAATTAATTCAGTCTCCAATAGTGGGTGTAAAGGACCATCCCTAACACTGATTTTTGGTCATTGCCCAACGCCTTTGCTTTATTTCCCATCTTCACATACAGAGAGATTCCTCTCCCTTTCTCGTTCACAAGTCTATATATGGTGTTAAAATCATGAGAGGAGGGAGCCACCACCACCAAGGTGAGCATGTGAATGCATCACTGTGGGGGCTTTGGCTTGCCTGGTGTAACCTAAGTTGGAGTGCATTCAAGCAATGACTTTTACAAAGGTGTCAACTTTTTCCTTCTTTTGATAGATTTGGGAGCATAACAGTTACTTTAGTCCCTTTTCATGTCAGATTAAGGATTAGAACAGCTCAATATGACCATATCCCGTTCCCATTTCTCATCTAACTAGTTAACAAGCGGTAGACATGACATTTTACGAGTGCTGAATACTGTTGCTTGTCCAATATCCCTCCTTTGGCTTTGCGCGCACTTTAGAGGCCCACAAAAGTGAGAATTTGTTGTGGTGAAATTGGCGAAAGTGAGAAGGAATCAATAAAAGCAATCTAAGATTTACTACAAATTAGGATCGTTTGGGATATACTTCAAGTTTTCTTTCTGGACTTTTGGCAAAAAATTTCACCCTATTGGCAGAACATTGCTTGACAGGGTTGCTCAATTTGTCAGTTCATGTCTCAACTAAATTTTTGCCTTTTCCTTCAATTTATCTGTACAATCTTCAGAACATTTTGCAAACATCAATCCCTGAAATTCTGGTGATCTGTAGTCCAACTTGCAACCATTCTTTTTGACTTTCTTTTGCTAATAGGAACGGTGGATATTAAGGGTAATGCCAAAATTTCTATTTCTGAGAGCGAAATTCCACCAACATTGGATTCTGAAACCACAAATCTAATGGTCGTAGGCATTTGGACCATAATTTCAACAAACCTAGATTTAATGTTCAAGTACATGTCAATGTCAACATGTTTTAACCGACGTGATTTTCTATTTAAATTATTACACCAAACAGCTAGACAGGCCAGAGCATCAAGAAACAAGATCCAAGAAAAAAACAGCTCATCCTTCTACAAGTCCCATTTTTAACTATTATAATCAATCATTTTTTTCCTTCTTATTATATTCATTCGTTGATTAAAAAAAAAAAAACTCAGTTAATTACTAATTTTCAAAAGGCTGATCAAAGGAACTAACAAAAGAAAATAAAGACAGAAAAAATGAAAAAAAGAAAAAAGAAGAAGCAAGCATGGGCACAAAGGTTAAATTCAGTAAGATAGATAAATTTTGTTTTGCTCGGGGATATTACATTTTCATTAAAAGCTGAAAATGCATAACCATTTCACAGTTAAGTGTATCAGAGCTTTGGTGCAGCTTCAGCCTGTTAGCTTTTGTGTCAGTCCCACGGGACCGATCATCTAAAGTAGAAAATATTCTTAATTATCTAATAATTAGACTGATAAAGACTGCTATACTAACTTTAACGACCTTTCTTCTCCATCTCCCTTGAACTAAACTAAAAAATCTAAAAATGTTTGAAGTAGAAAATGTACCTTGATTGATTGGACATAGTTGGCCATGATCATGCTCAAGGTCAAGCCACCCTTCATCCACTTTTCCATAAATTATATACAAACCTTGATGATTTTAAATCCACCCACCATTCTGATACTACAAATTAATGCAGCTCGTAGTTAATTTCTCTCCATAGATTTGAGCAGAAACATATTTGACCGTACTATTAAAAAAAAAAAAAAACAGATTAATCTATACTATTGGGATCTGGGTCGAGCTTCCCCTTCCACAAGTATAAAGGAAATACATTCTCTCTCTCTTTGTTTGGATATGTTTGGACCGATAGTTGTATTGATTTGAATACATTTTTTTTTTAATCTAATCTGCTTTCAAAAAGACGTGCATATGAGTTTCTCATCATTGAACAGAGAGTGTTGATTTCTTGACTGAACTGAAGAGGGGGAAAAATTCACCGAGAAAGGTAAAGTGAAAAGAGAGAGAGGAATTGATAAACTTGCAATGTTATTGCTTAATTAAGATTGTTAGTGTTGTTAAAATTTAAATCATTCTCTAGAATTATCTTAACCTATCAAGAATTCTTAGTCATTAAGCATTATATCAAATAATATTCAAAGAAGGTAGTCAACGGAGGTAATAAATGAAGGTGGTCAAATTTTATAGCTTCTAATTAATTCTAGAATTTTCAAATGAGAAGGTTAAGTTTGCTTCTAAATATGACCATTATGATTGTAATGCATACATAAAAAATTAAAAAGAATTAGAGAGAAAAAGAGAGAGTAAGAGAACGAGTAGCTATATATTAGCGACGAACTAGAAAGAGAGAAATAGAATCAAATTATTAAGAAAAGATATTGTGTGCGAGGTTTTTTCTTATAATCAATATATATCAATATATTGTTGTTTGAGTTTTATTTTGTGAGCTCATTACGCCTCCAACAAGTGGTATCGTAGCTAGGTTCATGTCTACATTTCAAATGAGAATATGGCTTATATCATTCAACCTCGGATCTCGAAATTAACAAAGACGAATTATGAAAACTGGAGCATCCAAATGAAGGTTCTACTCGATTCATAAAATTTATGGGAGATTGTTGAAGAAGGTTATACCGAGCTCGAATATGCTACTATCAAAGCATTTTTGACAAACACATAAAAAATAGCACTTAAAGAATCACGCAAAAAGGATAAGAAGGCCTTGTTTTTCATTTTTCAAGGAGTTGATAAATCAACTTTTAAGAAAATATCGGATGCAAAAACATCAAAAGAGGCATGAGAGATTCTATTGAAGTCTCTTCAAGGAGTCGAAAAGGTTAAAAAAGTACTCGCTTTAATCATTCAAAGCTGAATTTGAGATATTAAAAATGTTGAATTCTAAAAAGATCAATGATTATGTCACTCGTCTAAAAAATAGTGGTGAACGATATGAAAAAAAATGGAGAAATTTTTTATGATCTTAGAGTGATGGAAAAAATCCTACGTTCGACGACAAAGAAATTTGATTATGTCATCATTGCTTTTGAAGAATCAAAGGATTTGTCATAAATTTTTATTGATGAGCTTATGGGTTCTCTTCAAGCTCATGAGGATAGAATGAACCAAAATGAAAGTACCGATAATCTAGAGTAAGCTTTGCAAAACAAGTTATGTATTGGTGACAATCAAGCTAGTAGTAGTTATGGACAAGGTAAAGGAAATCGAGGTGGCTATAAAGATGGCTATAGAGGTACCTACGTAGGTGAACGTGGTGGATGAGGATGTGGCACAAAGTCCTTTGAAAGAAGCCAAAAAAATGAAGGCTATCAAATATATGGTAGTGGTCGAGGATCCGAAATCAAGGAAAAGGAAAATTTCAATAACGAGATGATAAATCACAATTGTAATGTTATAATTGTAACGAGTATGGCCATTTAAGTTACGAATGCAAATTAGCTCCAAAGATGGAGGAAATAAATCAGTTTGCGACAACGAGAAGACAAAGTAGTTTAATTGACTATTTTCCTAACATACAAAGGAAATGAAAAGTGTAAGAAAAATATTTGGCTTCTCGACACTAGTGGCAAGCAACCACATGTGTGTGGTCGAAAAGATTTGTTTACATATTTGGATGAGACTAAGTTGATATGATAAAAAAATAATCTTTTCACACTTGATATTCATACGAAGTGCTAAAGTGCATGAAGTTTATCATTAAAGACGAACCATGGTCATGGCATTTAAGGTTTGGTCATCTTGGATTTATCGGCTTGAAGTTATTATCGAAAGCAAAGATGATGGATGGACTTTTAGAAATTAATCAACTGGATCAATCGTGTGAAGCTCGTGCTAAAGGGAAACAACATAGATAAAGTTTTAAAGTTGGAAAATCATAGAAGAGCTAGAAGGCCTTTGGAGATTGTTCACTTAGATATAGTTAGTCCATTTGATATAACATCACTTGGTGAAAATAGATATTATCTTATTTTTATTGATGATTTCGATAGAAAAAGTTAGGTGTATATTCTTAAAGAAAAATCGAAGCCCTTGATAAATTTAAGGAGTTTAAAGCAATGACAAAAAAATAAAGTAAGTAGTACTTAAAGATACTAAGATATGATAGATGAGGCGAGTACACCTCAAAGTTATTTGAAGGTTTTTGCAAAGAAAATAGAATCATTCGTTAGTTGACAACCTCATGTACATCACAACAAAATGGCATTGCAGAATGAAAGAATTGCATGATTTTTTATATGGCAAAGAGCATGGTGAAAGGAAAGCACTTACCAAGAAACTTGTGGGTTGAAGCCATTCTATATGTTGTTTATTTACTTAATCGATATCCAATAAAAAGTGTAAAATTCAAAATGCCAAATGAAGCATGAAGCAGTAGCAAGCCCCGTAGTTGAACATCTCGGGATTTTTTGATGCATTGCATATGTTCATGTTCCCGACTAAAAAAGAAAGAAGTTAGATGACAAAGGAGAGAAGTGTATCTTTATTAGCTATGACAAAAGGAGTAAGGCATATAGATTGTATAATCCTTTGACCAAGAAGATGATCATCTCACAAGATGTTGAA